CGGACCCCTCTTCATTGGGAACGGACGAGGAACTGGATGCACAGTGGCAGCACTTGCGTCAGCTGCATGGAGTTTAGTACAAAGGGTCCTGGAAGCAGCGGCCGGCACAGCCACAAGCCACCGTGCTAAAAGATTCATGTTGCCCTACCGGATGTGGATGCAATCGTAGCAGTGTCTCGAGTCGAATCACAGTTGCCGGTAAGGGCCCCCGTTTTTGGACATGTCTCCTGCTGTGTGTGTGTGTGTGCTTGTTATCTATGGGTCTTCAAGCATTGTCTCTGCGAGATCTCGTCTATTCCTTAAGCAGCCCCAGCAGCAACAACAGCAACACCAAGAACACCACCACCAACAACAACACCAACACCAGCACCAGCACCACCACCACCACCACCACCACTACCACCACGACCGCCGCCACCACCACCACTACCACCACTACCACCACCACCACCACCACCCACCACCACCACCACCACCCACCACCACCACCACCACCACCACCACCTAGGCGCACTTCTGTTTTCATTCCTGAGAGGATTTAAGCCATAGGTCTCGGAAGTGTGTGTATATATATATATGCATACATACACATATACATCTGTGTGTATATACATATACATATACATATACATATACATATACATATACATATACATATACATATACATATACATATACATATACATAATCATATACATATACATTATTCGTGAACGCTAAAACACTTGACCAAAAGTTAAGATTGCTAAAACTCCTAGTCCAAAATTTTAAAACCAAACAAAAGCTAAAATTCCTGAACATTTTTGGTCAGAAATTAAAATTCCTGGACAAAAGTTAAAATTCCGGGCGAAAAGTTAAAATCCCTGGCCCAAAGTTAAAGTTCCAAGGCACTTGGAACTTTAACTTTGGAGACCCTCCGAGCAGAGCCTAAAACCTTTTTTTTTTTGGGGAAAACCTTAAAAAATACCAGATTTAGGCTCTGCTCAAGCATTTTGAGCAGAGCCTAAACCTGTTTTTTTTTTAAGGTTTGCCACCGAAAAAACAGGTTTTAGGCTCTGCTCGGAGGGGCTTCAAAGTTAAAGTTCCAAGTGCCTTGGAACTTTAACTCTGGGCCAGGGATTTTAACTATTGGCCAGGAATTTTAACTTTAGGTTAGGAATTTTAACTTTTGACTAGGATTTGTTTTGGAATTTTAACTTTTGCTAGGGATTTTAACTTTTGACTAGGAATGTTCAGGAATTTTAAGAAAATCGGTTCGGGATTTTAACTTTTGACTTGGAATGGTCAGGAATTTTAAAAAAAATGGTTCGGGATTTTAACTTGTGACTTGGAATGGTCAGGAATTTTAAAAAAAATGGTTCGGGATTTTAACTTGTGACTTGGAATGTTCAGGAATTTTAAGAAAATCGGTTCGGGATTTTAACTTTCTACTTGGAATGTTCAGGAATTTTAAGAAAATCGGTTCGGGATTTTAACTTTTGACTTGGAATGGTCAGGAATTTTAAAAGATGGTTCGGGATTTTAATTTTTGACTTGGAATGTTCAGGAATTTTAAGAAAATCGGTTCGGGATTTTAACTTTTGACTTGGAATGGTCAGGAATTTTTAAAAAAATGGTTCGGGATTTTAACTTGTGACTTGGAATGTTCAGGAATTAAAAAAAGGTTCGGGATTTTACTTTTGACTTGGAACAAAAATTGCTAGCGCTACCGCAGGGGAGCCTGCGTGTCGGGATAAACAAACCCAAACACAAAGGCGGGCCGGGGCAGGCAGGAAGATAGGAAAAAAAAATTGCGAGAGTTTCCCCTGGGGGGCTACCCCACTGAAACAGGTAAGAATAAAATGGCCCCTGGCCGATCCCCTTGGAAAAAAAAATCGAGCGCTCTCGTGGTGAGGGCGGGGGCGGGGCCGGCAGGCAGATAGGAAAAACAAAAAAAAAATTGCGAGAGTTTCCCCTGGGGGGCTACCCCACTGAAACAGGCAAGAAAAAAATTGAGAGAGTTTCCCTATATAATCGCACAGGCCGGCGGCGGGGGGGGTTGGGGGAAGTGCTGCGGTGTTGGAAAAAATTGTTTCCAAGGGGGCCTGGCCCCTGGCCGATCCGATCCCCTTGGACAAAAATCGAGCGTTCTCGCGTTGAGGGCGGGGCGGGGCCGGCAGGCAGATAGGAAAAAGCCAAAAAAAATGGCGAGAGTTTCGCCTGGGGGGCTACCCCACTAAAACAGGTAAGAAAAAAATGGTGAGAGTTCCGTTTCCAAGGGGGCCTGGCCCCTGGCCGATCCCCTTGGAAAAAAAATCGAGCGCTCTCACGGTGAGGGCGGGGGCGGGCCGGCAGGCAGATAGGAAAAGAACCAAAAGAAAATGGCGAGAGTTTCCCCTGGGGGGCTACCCCACTGAAACAGGCAAGAAAAAAATTGAGAGAGTTCCCAGTTCCCCTATATAATCGCACAGGCCGGCGGCGGGGGGGGGAGGGTGGGGGAAGTGCTGCGGTGTTGGAAAAAATTGTTTCCAAGGGGGCCTGGCCCCTGGCCGATCCGATCCCCTTTGAAAAAATCGAGCGTTCTCGCGTTGAGGGCGGGGCGGGGCCGGCAGGCAGATAGGAAAAAGCCAAAAAAATGGCGAGAGTTTCCCCTGGGGGGCTACCCCACTGAAACAGGTAAGAAAAAAATGGTGAGAGTTCCCCTATATAATCGCACGGGCCAGTCCTGCCGCCTGCCGCGTTGGAAAAAAATTGTTTCCAAGGGAGACTGGCCCCTGGCCGATCCCCTTGGAAAAAAAAATCGAGCGCTCTCGCGGTGAGGGCGGGGGCGGGGCCGGCAGGCAGATAGGAAAAAGCTAAAAGAACATGGCGAGAGTTTCCCCTGGGGGGCTACTACCCCACTGAAACAGGCAAGAAAAAAATTGAGAGAGTTTTCCTATATAATCGCAAGGGCCGGCGCCGGGGGGGGGGAGAAGTGCTGCGGTGTTGGAAAAAATTGTTTCCAAGGGGGCCTGGCCCCTGGCCGATCCGATCCCCTTGGAAAAAAATCGAGCGCTCTCGCGTTGAGGGCGGGGGCGGGGCCGGCAGGCAGATAGGAAAACGCTAAAAAAAGGCGAGAGTTTCCCCTGGGGGGCTACCCCACTGAAACAGGTAAGAAAAAAATGGTGAGAGTTCCCCTATACAATCGCACGGGCCAGTCCTGTCGCGTTGGAAAAAAATTGTTTCCAAGGGGCCTGGCCCCTGGCGGATCCCCTTGGAAAAAACATCGAGCGCTCTCGCGGTGAGGGCGGGGGCGGGGCCGGCAGGCAGATAGGAAAAACACCAAAAAAATGGCGAGAGTTTCCCCTGGGGGGCTACCCCACTGAAACAGGCAAGAAAAAAATTGAGAGAGTTTTCCTTTTGATCGCACGGGCCGGCGCCGGAGGGGGGGGAGAAGTGCTGCGGTGTTGGAAAAAATTGTTTCCAAGGGGGCCTGGCCCCTGGCCGATCCGATCCCCTTAAAAAAAAAACGAGCGCTCTCGCGTTGAGGGCGGGGGCGGGGCCGGCAGGCAGATAGGAAAAAGCTAAAAGAACATGGCGAGAGTTTCCCGTGGGGGGCTAGGGCTACCCCACTGAAACAGGTAAGAAAAAAATGGTGAGAGTTCCCGTATACAATCGCACGGGCCAGTCCTGCCGCGTTGGAAAAAAATTGTTTCCAAGGGGGACTGGCCCCTGGCCGATCCCCTTGCCGGGCTGCCCTCTGGATAACAAACTCATCGTGATGTTCCAAGACATGAACACGACATGCAATATGTTATTTTGTTCAATGCCATCTCTTCTGTTCTTGGCTTTCTTGAATATGTGCAAAGTAGTTGCGTGAGAAACCTAGAGGTTTTGTCTCCTATGAAAAACGAACAATTTTAAAGCGTTCTTCTTCGAAACAATTTCAGATATGCTGTTTCTGCCAGCAACCAAAATTCGCTTTAAATGTTCAAACTCACATGAAATTCACTTGAGAACTTGAGATTCGCTCCAAGTTCCAAATTCGCTTGAAATCGTTTCAAAGTCTTGTCAAATTCCGCATGGGGACAGATTTCTATAGGCTGCCCGGGATAAATAATATATCGAGTCGGGAGCATACAACTATACAGGCCTATCTATTTAAGATTAGGAACCCAGGCACCATGGAGTCCAGAGAGGGAGCAGAGCGGCGGGCTAGGGTTTATGGGCGGATGGGCATTGAGTAACGGCTAGTAGCAAGAGGTTTCAGCAGGAAAAGGTTCCCTGGGGCCTGGGGAGCCTTAGCATGAGTCTTGAGACTTCGGCGCCTTGAGTCGTGCTGCAGTGTTGGGCCATGTTAATCATGATCATTGCTAGAATCCACCTGGAGTCGTTTGAGTGGTTTCGAGTTGAATTTCATGCCAGTAAAAAAAGCAGTAAGATTTCCCACATGTTTGATTAGCTGACTGATCGAATGACGTATTGAGAGATACCTCGCCGACGCACGCCGTCGCATTTGGGAGCCGGCCAGGGCCGGCCAATGCCACCATCCTTGATCCATGGTGAACAGTGGCAGCTCGGACTCGGGCCGGGACTCTTTGTCATCTAGTTCAAGCAAATCTTCCTCCTCCAGGAGCTCTTCGCAACGGTCCCGACAATCGGAACCGCTCAGGGACAGGGACGTAGAGGCAGAATGTGCTGACGGTGAAATCGTTGAAGGCAGTGAACCCCAACCGCCTGAGGACCTACCAGGACCAGTACTTGAGGAACTTGAAATTGAGGATGCCGAAGGCAGTGAACCCGAACCACCTGAGGACCTACCAGGACCAGTACTTGAGGAACGTGAAATTGAGGATGCCGAATGTGCAGCTGAGAGCCACCTTGGATTTGTGCCACCACCGGGACCATCAAGCTTGCAGGGGGCCTTTGACTGGCCACGCAGGTATGCCGACCAGATGGTTTCTGACCCAAAATGCTTGCAGAGCCTGTGTCAGCTCATCCAACAAGGGGTGCGATTCGAAATTCACGATAGTTTTGCTGGTATGGGAACCGGCTCTGTCACCTTCAAGCAAGCTTTGACTGCTCTGGTGCAAAGCGCGAACGAGGAGTTGAGGAAGCAGGGTCAAGGTCGCTTGAGTCGTAATAGTACGTATAGTAAGTATAGTATAGTATTTAAGGCATTTGGTGTTCAAACTGGTGTCCCTGCCAGTTAGATCATCCGCAATGAAACTGCGCAGTCTTCCAAGGTTCAGATCCTTTGGAAGTGCCTGCCGCGATCACAGTCGCTGCTTGCGACTACGACAAGCATGCGCAGGAAGTGCTGGCTTCACTGCCGGAGGCCGGGATCTGAGACCTAGCACACCGCACACGGCGCAAACTCGACTCTGCGGCAGACTTTAGAACATGAACGCACGTGCCAATACCGTGCCAAGTGCCAATCTATCAGAGCCTGTGTCCGACTGACTGTGTCCACAGCCGCAGCCTGAAGGTTTTCCGCCCTGAACACATTCATGGCGATCTGAATGAGAGGCTCGCGGAAAAGTGCTTGAAGCAATTGGATGAAGCTCGCGAGACGACGTTTTTTGAGCTTCAAACGGTGCTGAGTACCTTGCCTTGGCTTGTCCGTGTCAGACCGAAGATGTGGATCAGATAATTAGATAATGTTGAATTTTGGTGTGGTTCTTGATTCTTGTGGCTGCCGCTGCGGTGCTGTGCTGAGCCACATTGCTGCTTAGGTGAAGAGGGGGCTGAGACCGCAGAGGACCGCAAACGCATTGAGGCCACATATGGCATGCGCCTCCTGGACCGCTACATGAAGATCTTGGAGAACAAGAGCTTTTGGAAGACTGCGGCTCCGTGCTGCCGTCACAAGGAGCTTGACTTAAGTTGTAGCTTGAACTTCTGACCCTCCCGGCCTCCAGCCTCCAGGCATGTGCAGAATTCACAGTTGCCCAGGCTCCATGCTTGCCATACAACCCAGGATCCAAACCATCAGCAGAGCACTCCCGTGTCTGTGTGACATGTGCTGTGTCGGCTGTGTGCTGAGCGGGGTCCTTTTGTTCATTATCGGCTTTTTTTTAACGTTTGAACCTGAATGCACGTGCCTTTGCCAGGACAGCGGCGCCGGCGCCGCTGTCCCGGCCAAGGCGGCCGAGAAGAAGAGCAGAACTAAAACACAATTGCAGTGTGATTGCGTCACGCCTTTCGGCCGCTTGATGCAAGTGCAAAAAGAAGCAGAGGCCCAGGCCCAGGCCCAGGCTGCCCAGGCCCATGGATGCACGAGCGATGACATTGACATGCCGCCCAGCACGACAGCAGCAGCCGACTCCAAGCCGCAACCGCGGGTGGTGAAAGTTGCTGTGGGTGGTTCTGTTTGCGTGGACCACTCACCCTTTGGCGCCGTGGCTTCGTGCATGGGCTTGAGTCTTGAGTCTTGAGTGTTTTCGGTGACTCCAGTAACAAGTAACACAGTGTTTCGTACCTCAAGCGCTTCTGACTCGTGAGCTATTCTACGCGTGCCAGGCCACTGGTCATTGAGGTCCTTGTATATCCCAACTTGAAGCTTGAAACGCAAGCGGCCAAAAGCCAGCCTCCGTTTAAGTCCCCGTGCGAAGGAAACGGTAACCATCAGACTCATCATCAGACCTCTTCCCACCATTTTATTCTCAAGCCTCGCGCCTCTCAAACCTTTATCTCTTGAACCCAGCGAGACTCCCGGACTCCCAGTCTCCCATTCCGAAGCTGCCACAAATGCCCAAACAAACGAGGCCCCAGGCCCCAGGCCACAGAAAAGGCACCATGTGCAGGCAGGCTCAGGTCAATCAACGCTGTTTGAGTCACGCCGTTCCAGGTGCTCGCGCCGGTTTGTTGGGGTCGTCATCGAGAGCTTTAGCAGTGTTTCTGAGCGAGCGGAAGATTGTCGGCGAAGCTGCTTTGCTTGACATGTCTTTAAACCTCAGGGATTTACCGTTCCAGGCTCCAGGCCCAGGCTTCCAGTTGCCAGGCCAGGCCAGAGTTTCAAAGTTGCGGTGGTTCGTATCGTGTGAGTCGATCTTTTTCGTTCAAGACTTTCAGACATATGAGACATGAGACTGAATGACTTGTGACAGTCGCAGTCAGTCAGTCTAATGTACGTGCAGAGCACACATGCTGGGCCGAAACAAGGACATTATATTGCACGAGAACAGCAGCAGATTCTTGGACTGGATTTTCCCTTTGTACCTTCCAGAGTACAAGTGGTATACGGTGCAGCTGCCAATCACCGGTACTTCAGATCTTCGGAATGTGATGCTGTCTCCGTGGCATTTTGGCTGGCCAGAGAGAAGGCCCAGGCTCTACACGGTTGGCGTCCGACAACAAGGCCCTTTTTCTCTGCAGAGCCACCCTTGCACAGCACTCGCTGGCGCTGGCAAGGCCGACGGCTGGAACTTCGAGAACCCTCTCAACAAGGTGATCGACCTCTGGTCGACCCCGAATTTTGAGGCGTCAGAGTTCTTCGCAGCAGACGAGGACGGACTGACTGACGCCCGTGTGCCAGGAATTCAAAACACATCAAAACACCACCCGCCCTGCACCCCCCGCCCTCACCCTCTGGCGTGGCCTCAACCTTAGCCGAACCGCAAAGTTTCTCTGTGGCCCCTTGCCCGCCCCAGCCCCAGCCCCAGCCCCAGCCCCGCGTGTCCTCCGCAGCCGCCGCAGGAACAGGTGGAAGCAGAACGCCGAACTGCCAGCCGAAAGACATGCAGAGATCGCCGTTCCAGCTTTGAAATGCTGCTTACAGGTCGGTTTAGGGTTGGGGGTTGGGGAAAGTCGGGGAAAGATTTAGTAGAGGTGGCATTGCCGTTGGTGTGTTGATGCGGAGTCCGGAGTCTTGTAGAGCGAAAGCTCTGCGATTTGTTTAGCTGCTGTAGCCTGCACCTGCATCTGCTGTAGTTCAATTTCAGTCTTGGTTCCACTTGCATGTGAGAGGTGGAGCTTTTGTCAGAGCCAGAGTCAGAGTCCATATGTTGTCATGAGGCCGTTCAGCCGCTCGGCCGTTCTGTCGTGTTTCCTTGTTTTGCCACAGGTGCAAAGCCTACGTATTTGCGGCGATTCAAGGAGTTGGAGAAGGTCAAGAAGTTGCACTCCAAAGGCTATACAGTGATTGCAAATTTGGCACAGAATCCGGACAAACGCCCGGTAGTTTCCAGGGAACTGCGAACACTTCTGAAAACTAGTTTCATGTTCATGATCCGGCCTGCAAGCCCGGGCACGGACCAAGAGCCATCATCGTCGAACGCGGCTCCGCCGCCGCTTTCAGTTCCTGGTGGGGCTGAAAACCGATGGATGCTGGGACAGGACGATTGTTGTTCATGACCATGGGCCATGGACCGGTTCTAGCATCCATTGGTTCGTCATTGCAAATTCCATTATACAGGCTTCTTGCTTTTGCATTTTGCAGACTTGCAGAGCGCAGGAGCATTTGATTGCCATGGGGGTGCCGGTTTATGCAGACCTCGCCGGTGCCCACCATCCGTATCCACCCTTCGGTGTCTTGGACAAGCTTACGCAGCACACCATGCGTAAGCTAGCAGGAAATGCTTCTGAGCTGCAAACCAATCGTGGTGAAAGCTTTTAGCTCATGCCGCCGTCCAGTTTCATTCAGAATGTTTTTGTGGCTGCATTTTCACGGAAACGCTTCATAGTCTGCTTGAGTTTGGTTGCTGAGGCTATGCACCCTGCTGTTATTGGTGCTCTATGGCAGGTTTGCCTCTGCAGCCTCACTTTGAGATGACGCTTGGTCCGCTGTGCTCCACACTGCCAAGATAAGGTCAGCAAGTCGAGTGATAGGAAATAAGTTCGTGGCGAGGCGCCGAGGCGCTCTGGCTCGTTTTATCAGGCCTGCAGGCCGGCAAGCTGCCAACCTGCGTAGCGGGTGGCTAGCTAGCAGGCTAGCTAGAAGGCTAGCAGGTAGCGCCAGCGGTTAGAGCGAGGCGAAGCCGGCTTAGTTTCTCATCTCTGATAGATGCGGGAGTTTTGAGGTCAGTGGATAAAAGTCGTTGGTCCGGAGTCCGAGTCCGGGGACTCTGCTTTCGGGTTGAGTTGTGTGAATTGCGTGAATTGGCTGCAGATAAAATCAGAATCAGCCGGGCCCCTCTTTGGGCCTTCGCGTATGGCGGATGAGAACGAGGCTGACAAGGCGGTCTCTTGCATTGCTACTGCTTCACATGATTTGCCCTCCTAGGCTACTAGGGTGGGTTTCTGCAGCAGCAGTGACCTTTCAGATTTAGATGACGCCTGATTCCGCCTGGTGTCAGGTTGAGGGAGCTTACCCCGACGGCTCCGACTCCGATCCGAAGCTGCAGCGATTCGAGACAACATGCAGTGTTCCCGCGTGTCCGACGGTGGTCATTCGACGTCCGAGTGTGTGTGGTTCCCCAGATTTGTTGTGCGTATGCTGAAGCATGCCCCAGTTCCGCTCATTTGGCTCATTTGTCGTCATTTGAGGTCGGCCATGCTGCAGCAGGCAGGCCCTGCACTCAAGGACAAGCTGATGGCGATGGAGAAGGAGCAGCCGGAGGCATTTCTGGAGCTGCTGGAAGATTTCAGTACGAAGCTCCTGGCTTTAATTGAGTTGTTGCCGTGTGCTGCCGTGTGCATGCCTCCCTGCAGTGTGCAGTCCGAGGTCGCCGCATCCGGGCAGGGGAAAACCCCCGACCTAGAGCCGGGAGTTTTGAGGTCACCCGATAGATAAAAGTCGGGTTGGTGTGGGGGCTCTGCTTCCGGGTTGGGTTGCGTGAATTGCGTGAATGGCCGCAGACTCAGACCCGCCGCAGACTTGGGCTCTTGGATTGCATTACTTGGATTTGTGGAGCGCGAAGCTGGGCATGGCGGCTGATTTCGCGAAGGCAGATCAGCAGCAGCAGCCGCAGCAGCAGGACAACCCCTTCGGCGAGGCGTTGGACAAGTTTGCCGGGTTTGCCGAGCCGGTGACGGCGTTGAAGACTCAGGCAGTGTGCGCCAGTGTGCGCTGCCATGCTGTGTTGCATTGCTACTGCTACTGCTTTACATGATTTGCCTCAGCCTTCCAGTGCTGGCATCCTAGCATATAGGGTGGGCTTTTCAGTGTGGGAGTGACCTTTCAGATTTAGATTCATTTAGATGATGTTGAGCGTGGTCAGGTTGAGGAGCGTACCCCCGACGGTTCCGATCCGAAGCTGCAGCGATTCGAGACAACGTGCAGTGTTCCCCCGTGTCCGACGGTGGTCATTCGACGTCCGGGTGTGTGTGGTTCCCCAGATTTGTTGTGCGTATGCTGAAGCATGCCCCAGTTCCGGTCATTTGTCGTGATTTGAGGTCGTTGATCTTGTGCGAGCGGCATTCGTCGGGCAGAGCGGCCATGCTGAAGCAGGCAGGCCCTGCACTCAAGGACACGCATCTGGATCCGATGCATCTTGCCGATCGGGTTCCTCGGGATACTGGTTACTTCTGAACTTCTCTCGGTGCGACTTTGTCACTTGAGCGGATGGGAAAAAAGGAGAAGCTGGTGGCGATGGAAAAGGACGAACCGGAGGCGTTCATGGAGCTGCTGGAAGACTTCTGCACGAAGCTCCTGGGCTCAATTGAGTTGTTGTTGCCGTCTGCTGAGTCTGCTGCCGTCACTGTCGTCACCGTCACGTCCTATCAATTTCGGCATCTTTCCCAGATTCCCAGTCCCAGGTCGCCGAACCCGGGCCGCGGGAAAGCCCGGGCAGTCTACGACTTCTCGAAAGTCAAGAGCCGCATCGCCGTGGGAAACAGGTTGGAGGCCCGCAGGCTCAGTTGAAAACACTTGCATGTGACAGACTGCACATAACAAATCCGTGGGGAACTCGGTCCTCGGTGACAGGACTCAGCCATCAGGAAGCCTTTCACCCAGGACGAGTACATCTTGTGGTTTACTGAGAAGTGCCCCCGATACCTACGCTGCTTGGCTGCGAAAATGACACTGCATGCGGCACGTGACGGCCATGACTGCAGGTGCTAAGCAGCCGTGCAGCTCTGCGAGTTGTATTGTATATAGTATATTGTATATGTTAAACATGTTATGACGATGCTTGCCGCCGTGGTTCCAAGGACTGTCAGAAGAGGCCGCGGAGGCCCGATGGAAGAAGGACTTGCGCGATCCGACGGTCCGGAGGGACCAGGTGAAGGCGAATAACAAGGATGGCTCCGATGCTGGGTTGGTGACTCGCCTTGTCTCGGTCAGCCGAAACACTCCCGCGGTCCATCTCTAAATGCTAAGCCTTCTGGCCTTCCGGGCCTGGGGGCCTGAGGTTTGGAGGGTGTGGACTGTCACAGGCGAAAAGGAAAAGGACATCGGCTTCAAAGCCTCTTGGCCCGACTGGACTGGGCTAGGATCAGGATGATCAGGGTCACGGAGTTCGGCGGTTCGGCGGGGAGATGTGCCACTGGTGTGTGGGTGCTATACTAGCTACTAGGACCTACACCCAGACCTACCCAAACTCCAAACCCTAAACTTTCGCGAGACTTCCTCTGGATTACTAGCTTTAGCCTGCTCCAAACCTCATAAATACAATAGGAGTTGTCAGCTGATGGCTGATGGAATCGTACTTTGATCATTGGTCGTTGCACTCAGGTCTCGCTCCTTGTAGGAAAACCCCATGTGTGCAGAATTCTGCGGTTCTGAAGCATTTTCGCTTACTATGGGAGCGATGCTAATCGGGCTTACAAACTACAAACCCTAGGCCGTAAACAAACAGTAACTAATGCATTTGCCAGCTCAGGAAGAGGCCGTGCATCAGGAGGAGGAAGTGTCTAGAAAGCAACCTACCGAGAAGCAAGAAGCGGAGCTGGATGGAGTGAGGAAGCAACTGCTGGAAGACTTCGACTTGGAGGATGCCCCTGATCGTAAAGCTTGACCGCCGCATGTCATGCGTTCGTTCGTGTGTGACCCTTAACCTTGGCCCTTGACGTGTGCCTGAAGGATGGTGGCGTGCCTTTGACGTCGCGTCGTTCAACCTCGGCCTCAGCCGCCTCTGGTGGCAGTAACTCTGCCACCCCTTCGGGCAGCGGCAGGAATGTCAGCAGCGGCGCCAACTCCAAGCCAGGGAATGCTTTGATCCCGATCCCGTTGGACAAGAAGGAGCAGGCGTTGTTGAAGCTGATGCCTGCAGCATGTGCTACTCGCCTCCGCTCGCAGACCGTGAAGGAGTTCACGAGCACAGAGGCAATGCTCGTCAAGGCTCTGAACGTAGCAGCATCGGTGGAGAAGCAGGCCAACGAAATTTACATTGGAACACAAGACGCACAAGGTGACCCCACGTTTTTGCATCTGGATCCATCCCTGCAGCTGCTGCGATCGCGGGTGGCCATAGCCAAGCAGATGCGAACGGATGATCCTTTTCTTAACAGTGAGAAAACCCAGGACATCAAGCGCCAGCTGATGCAAGCTTTGATGGAGGACCCCTTCTTTCGGGAGTCAGAGGAGCCAAAGGTTTCTGAGGAGATCTGCTTGACGTTCGGGCAGCTCAAATACTTCCGCGAGGTGAAGAGCAAGCTTTTGTCCAGCACAGCGGCCGTTATTGAAAAGTTCGGCCAGCACCGATCAGCTTTGCTGCTCATGACGGCTGTCGCGAAAAGCATCATATGTGAAGCAGATTCGTGGCGTGCCACTGTGGCAGCAGAAAGCAAAGCCGTTGAAGAGGAACGCAGGGCCAAGGAGAAGGAAGATAAAAAACGCAAAACCGAGGAGGACAAACGGGCGAAGAGGGAGCGTGGCTGGGCTGCGTTGGGTGAGTTGCGTGGAGCCGAAGGGTTCACTGCCCCCTGTGTCGTGTGTTGATTCTTGTTTATTCCGAACTGTACGTCGGGACTCTGGATAGCAGGTGCAGCGTTTAGTCCGTTTTCATTTTCGCTGCTGTCAGTTTGCATGCAGACAATCATGATAACTGCATTTCTTTGGGAAGCCTGCCGCCAGCGCCGAGGCAACGCCGCAGAAAAGTTGCGGAAAAAGGAGGAGGACAAGGCAAACAAAGCCAAAGGCGGCGGTCGCGGCGGTCCTGACGAGGCCAGGCTGAGACTGTGCCGCTGAGCCGCTGTGCCTGTGTAGCTTGTGTACATTACGTTAAATTACGTTCGTGGATGCAAGCCAGACTAAGCCAGAACCAGATTTCATGCCATTTCATGCGATGATGCAGGAAGCCGATGCTGATGCTGAGGGGAGAAAGGCAAAAAAACGACGGGGCCCCAAAATGGATCGGATCACAGACGAAGACCCGCAGATCTTGCAGACCGGGAGGAATATTAAGGAGATGGATGTTTCTGAGTCCGTCGATGATTTGTGCACGGCCATGTCTTTGAATGAGCCCTTTGCCTGCCGTCTCAAGAAAGGGCCCATCGCCAAAGTCTTGAGAAACGCAACAGCGCACGATGGCTCAAGTGCTGCACCCCCGAAAGAGACCGTGACAGGGTTCACGAAGGTGGTCACCACTGCAGCCTTGAAGCATTTCAAGCTTCAAGTTTCTAGATTTTCAGCATTGAGCATTTGAGACCTCGGCCTTAGTAAGTCAGCATTCAGACTTCAGAATGATTCAGAATTCACAATCATCGGTGATCGGACTTTCAGATTTCAAGTTTTAGGCTGTCCGATGTGGCCTGGAGTGCAGAGTATAAGTCTGGGAATCTCCATGTCTCTGGGAATTCTGGTTGTTCTGATTCTGATTTGAAACCAACCTGTTGCAGTTGCACTTGCGACACGCATTTGTGACACCACGGCTGCTAGTGAGAGTGCTCTCACCCCATTCCTGTTCGTTCGTTCGGTAGGTAGGTAGGTAGGTAGGTCGGTAGGTAGGTAGGTAGGTAGGTAGGAAGGTAGGTAGGTCGGGGGGTAGGTAGGTAGGTCGGTCGGGAGTCGGTAAGTAGGTAGACCAGGTAGACATGGTAGGTTGGTTGGTTGGTTGGCAGCGGCTTTGGTAGGTTCGTATAGGTTGGTAGGTAAGCAGGGGCAGGTGGGTCTTAAACTAAGCCGAAGCTCGCAGTCTCGCAGTGCCTGCAATTCAGGCAATCACGGAGATGACGGATCAGCTGTCTGAGGACAAGCAGCGCAAAACAAAGATTCTGTCGGACATCCAGGCTGACCTCGTGGCAGCAGACACTCAGGCAGGGGTCTGAGTGAGTAGGAGAGTATGATTGCCTGATGGGGTTCGGCTTCGGGCTTGAGGCCAAGCTTCAAAGGTCCCACACCCGGAGGATTGAATGCCGGAGAGGTTCCAAACTTCGAGTTGCCCGCATCCGCGTGCAAGGTGAAGCGGCGATGGGAACAGCTGGAGAAGGGGCGCACCGTTTTCATCGATCGTGTCACGATGGAGAACGTGAGCCCTGGCTCAATAACCCAGCCCTCAGGAAAATTTCGCATCATTGTCACCGTGTCCTGCTGGCAAAATCTACCCGGTAGATCATGTGTCATGTGAAGTCCGATGGGAATTGCGAGCCTGACATTTCCGAACCGGAGACCGGAAGTCCGGAGTCCTGAGTTGGCGATACAGGGTTTTTTATCTTTCTGAGAGCAGTGAGCAGCCATGTCAGAATCATGCTTTGTTGCTCACCATTAAGGTCGGATGACAAAGAAGATCAGTTGGAAAAGCTCGGTCTTGACAAGATGCACAGCGAAATGAAATTGCTGAAGGACGGTGTTCGCAAGTGGGAGTCGGTAACCCTCACCGGTGCCTTTGACCAGAACGTTTTCGCTGGCTGGATGGTAGGCGGGGAATAACTGTTTAAGGGTGTGGGCGGAGTCCCGGTTTGAAGTCTTCAGTGCAGTTCGTCGACATGCCGCGTGGCGCAGGTGGGGCAGGCAGTCTGAATTATTTGATTCATGGAAACAAGCTCGTGGTGATAGCTGATTATATGGAGATCCTGCAGTTCATGCGCCGGGACCGTGAAGCACAGGATTTCACGTACAAGGCAGGGCTGCGCGGATGCGCGCTGAGGGATTTCATTATACTTTGAAAAGTTTGGTGTTTGTTGCAAGATATTGTGTCGTCGGTCGGGCCCGTCTGGCTGCCAGGGCATCGTCCAATGGTTCTCTGCGCAGAACGGGGCGGACCTCGAAGCAATGCGCAGCCTCAGACATCTCTACAGCATTCCAGGCGACACCATGTACGTGCCGCCTGGCAGTATCATCGTCGAGAAGGCGATGGGCAGCACGTTCACGGTGAAAGCTCACACGTGTGACACGGCAACGTTTGGCTGTTGGGAATTTGGGAATCTGGAATTTGGGATTTGGGACTTTGGGACTTTGGGACTTTGGGACTTGGGACTTGGGACTTTGGGACTTTTGGGATTTGGGAATTAATTGGGTTTTGGGAAATTTTGGGAATTGGGAGCTGGGGGCTGGGGGCTGCTGGGCTGGGGGCCGGGCCTGGGGGCTGCCTGGGGCACTGGGGCCACTGGGCCACTGGGTTTAGGGTTTAGGGTTTAGAAGTTTAGGGTTTAGGTTTAGGGTTTAGGGCCGGTGGCAAGGGCAAGGGTTAGCGTTTCGGCGTTTCGGGTTTCGGGGTCGGGGTTTAGGGTCTTTATATAGGGTAGGCCCGGGTGGGCGGTGCTTTTGAAGGCTTTGGGTTTTGTGTTAAAACGTTCATGGGATCGGGTTGCTTATAAGGGGTGTATATATATATATACACCCCTTATAAACAGCCCGATCCTATGAACGTTTGCTGATTATTCGCCTGGCTTTACCGAGGCTAGCGAGGGTTAGTGTCAGTGTTTCAGGGTTTAGGGTCTTTATATAGGGTAGGCGGTTCTTTTGAAGGCTTTGGGCCTTGGGTTTTGTGTTAAAGGTGGCTTAATGTTTTGTGTTCTTTTTTATGTGAGGTTTGTGGACGGATAAGATTTAGGGTTAGGGTATTCGAGAGTCGGCGTGTTTTGGGTTGGGATATCCTCTACAAAAACCGAAGACTAAATCTATATATATATATATACAAATGTATATATATATATATATTTATATTTATAGTTATATATATATATATATATGCTCAGGGTTTCGCTTACGATTGATTGTTATTGTCCGGTTTATAAATCTGTTCATCAATCGAACGGTTCGAGGAATCGGATCTTGTGAGGGGATGCATAATTTTAGGGTTTATGGTTTAGGGTAGATTTTGTCTTTTCGACTTTGTATCATGGAATCACAGAACTGGTGATTGGCATTCGCAACACATAGTAAACGTAATTGACCCAAGAAATTGAGTCGGATCCTCTGACTCTAGCCTGGTCTGGTCGAAGAAGGTTACACTGATGACCGAGATGGACTCTAGTGATTAGGCTAATTGGGGTTAGGGCTAGGGTGTGAATAATTTTACGTTTAGGGCCAGGGCCAGGGTTACCAGGGTTTAAGGTAGGATGCTAGGGCTTGGCTTGGTGTCAACACTTGGAAGGTTTAGTCTAGGGTTTGGGAGTTCAGTCGGGGTTTCGAGTTTGGGAGTTTAGGGGCCATTCAGGGTTGCATGGCATGTCCGAGTTGTGAGCTCGTAAAGGTCGTGTTTTATACATCATACTCAAACTCACACTGTCTTTAAGTGATCCGTGTCTGGATTTGGGTAAGAGGCAGAAAGTTCAGCACAGCACGCACTGCGCGATGCTGTCGCCCAGGCTCTATACTTTGGCCAACAGTACGACATATCACTTTTGTTCTGACCGGTTGCCGCGATCCCAATCTGCAAACAAGTGATGACGATTACTGACGACTCGACGGGACGACTCGTGTCACGACGTCCACCCGGATAGTTATTTCCAACTGCGATAGTCCGATAGTTGCCCAATGCGTCATGTGAATCATGTGTTGCCATGTTTGGGCCTGGGCGGCCTGGGTCCACAATGAGTCCACAGGAATCTTTGCTCGTTCTCTGCGCATGAACACAAGACCTTGCTGGCGTGACTGGGAGCGCATGGTGTTTCAGACTTTCAGGGCGGCGCCGGCGCATGAGCATGTGGTCGATATATCGTCATTGAATCGTCATGGCGCATTCGCACACATTACGTCATGACACGCCCGGGACCCCGACACATGTTTGCATGCGGCGTCCGGGTTCATGCGTGGTGGCATGCCGTCGCGGTGACTTTGATGATGCTTGTGTTAGCGGTTGTTTCAAGTTGTCGTGGCGTGGTGGTCCACCGCGCCATGGCTTGGGCCTTGGGGTTTTAGTTTGAACTTGGGTGTTATTGTGTTATTGGGTTGTTGGCGGGTTGGGCCGTTGGGTTCGATCTTCAAGTTCAAAGTTCAAGGGTTCAAGACTTCAATAGCTCCAGTTGTCTTAGGTCTTAGTTCTTCGGGTTTAGAATTTAGAGTTCTCGGTTTCTATGACCATGTGACAGTTATAAGCCATACGGTAGCTTGGGTGTTTTGTTTCGCACTTGAGTTTCGCATGATAATTAATATAGTTAGAGATCAGATCAGACTGTTCTCTGACGAACCGCCCGCGACGTGACCCCTTAACGGCCCCGAGCAACTAAACCCAAGAAATAGAAAGTCTGAGCCTGAGCCTGAGTCTCTGCGCCCTGAGCCCTAAACTATGTCAATTCCGAGCGCCCTGAAACTATTAGGCAGTTGGTGTCTCTAGCTTTTGTGGACTTCGGAATTCGGAACTGCGTCCTTGCTGGGATTGGGCTGGGGCTGGGTCGCTAGATGCTGCGAATGTTATTTTCGATTGACGGCCAAAGCCAGGATTGGCTTCTTCTTGCCCTTTAACTATTACTCCTCCTGCTGCTGTTGCTGCTGCTACTACTGACTACTGCTATTACAACAACAGCAACGACAACAACAACTTACGACTTCGACTACGACTAGGACTGTTACGACTGCTACTGGTACTACTACTACTGGTACTACTACTACTACTACTACTACTACTACTACGACTACGACTACGACTACGACTACGACTACGACTACGACTACTACTACTACTAGCGCTGTTGCTGCTGCCGCTGCTGCAACCTAATACCCGTGGACCTGACACCTGATCCGACTGACCCGGACTGTCGCCTAGGATGTGATGTGTTGCAAGTGTTGCGAGCTCAGCTCAGGTATTGTGGATCTGCACACCCGTGGGTGTCTGGAAGAGCTGATCACGACCTTCCCGGAGCTGCTAATCTGCAGGTCTGCAGGCTTAATTCCTCTACCAAAAGTTTTTCTCAGTAGCCCAGGAATTCCGTCCTTCGCCACCTCCTGAATGCCCTTGCTGAGCTCAAGCTGCCCTCTCCGCATATGCATACAAATGGTGATGATGATGCACAGGCCCCTCGGTCCTCACTCGCATACACAGAATATTTTAGATTCACACCACCACCTCCCCCCCAAAAAAAAATCAAATCTCCCCAAACTGATCCCAACTGCTCTTGTTTTCTTGAGGCAAAGGCAAAGGCTGGCGATGCCCAGGGTCAGGGTCGTGAGGACGCGGTGCCCGCCGAAGAGTCACAGGCTCCGCAGTGCAGTCAGCGCCCGTGCAGTCACAAACGACTGCGTGATACATTGATAAAGGTGATAAAACTCTGAATCTTGTGAAAAGCAACCCACCGACAGCCGACAGGACCCAACCGAGCCGGATCACGAGAAGCAGCAGGAAGCGGCGGAGAAGGAGTCGAGCGAGGCAGCTGATACCGGTGATAAATGCCTGAATTCCTAAAAGCAATCCACCAGCAGCCGACAGGTTCCAAAGGAGCTCGAGCACGAGAATCACGAGGAACACCCGAAGCCGACCGAGGCAGCTGATAGAGGTGACGAAACCCTGAATCCTGAAAAAGCAACCCACCGACAGCCGACAGGACCCAACCGAGCAGCCGGATCACAAGAAGCATCAGGAAGCGGCGGAGAAGGAGTCGAGCGAGGCAGCTGATAAAGGTGATACAAACCTTACAAACCTGACCCTACACCCTAAACCCTACACCCTTAACCCCTAAACTCTATAAACTTCCCTAATCCCTAAACCTTAAGCACAGGTTGCAAATCCAACCGAGCAGCAGCCCGAGCACGAGAAGCAGCTGCAGCCGGGGTCGACCGAGGCAGCGTAACGTTTCAGATTCTGCGGTGCTCGTGGAGTCAGCCTACAGCCCGCCGAAGTCATGTAGGACAGGGCCTCACGCTCGCACCAGTCCCAGCTGCCCTGCCCAGGCCCAGGCTGCCCCTGTTGGGGTTGATATTCAGACCGTCGAGGAGCCACCCGTGACAGAGCCAGAGGCGCTTGGTGGTCGCAGTGGTGATTTAGGGAATTTAGGGTTCGCATGGCAATCTTTCGTTTAGGGGCATTGCGTCGTAGGCGTTTGGAGTCAAGGCTTTTGAGACCCTGACTGTTTCAGGCCGTACAGGCTTGGGTTAGCATACAGGGTCCTGTGCCCAGGCGAATCCCCTGAGCAATTTTGAGTTGTATCCTCATGCCTGGTACCTTCAGCCGCAGCTCATTGGAGGGGTTGTAGCTTCCAAGCCTTCTCAAGTAAGCACCTGGCTACCTGGTTGTAGGATGCAGGCATGTGCAGTGAAGGGCAACAGGAAGCACAAAGACTCCTGTAGGCACAAGTTGATACAGCTGGCAGCTGCATTGGCATTACGGGAGACAGCTGTTTTTTTGTGCGCTGCGACCGTTTGTGTAAGATGAGTGCTCGGACTCGCACAATTAGGACTGGGATTGGGCCTAAGGCTTGTGATGCCATGCAGGAATGCCATGGAGCATGGTGCCGTTCCCGTGAAAGAGGATCTGCCAGATTGTAGTCTTGCCAAATTGCCAATTGCCAAAGTCCAAAATCCTAAGCTCCAAATTTACCGTGTTGGGCGTCGGGCGTGTTGTGGCACGCCTCTGACTGCGACGAGTTTGCTGAGCTACTCCTACTGTTACTGCTACTGGCCTTTGTGCATAGGTGTTTTTGAATACAAGTCCGCCGCCGATCCACCGGGAGGTGCCATTGCCAATGCCAAGTCCGGCTGAGACTGAGCGCCAGACCGGCGTGCCAGCTGTGTCTCAGCGGCAGATTCTGTGGTCGCGTGTTCAGTTCGACCTTATTTCACCAAAACCAAAACCCACTTGACCCACTTGTTTCCTTGAGGCTTCGGTTTCGACTGCAACGGCTCTTCAGCGTCTCGAGGCTCCATAACCATAAACCCTAAACCCTAAACTCCTAAACAACGGCTCGACCCGTTACCGCCTACCGCCATGCCTGCTTTGCAAGTGTGTGAGTCGAAACAACGGCTAGTATAGAATAAGGGCTGCTTTAAGAGCTAGTGTGAAGGCCGCTCTAATGTTAGGCTTGCACGGCTTGCGGCTTGCGCTCAGTCTTTACGGGGTCATGGCGGCCTGGCGGCACCATGTTTCTTGGGTGGGCTTCGGCCCCGTGCTGCTTGGGTGGGCTCCGGCCCCGCGCTGCTTGCGTGGGCTCCGGCCCCACGCTTGTTCTTGGGTGGGCTTCGATTCGGCCCGGCCCCGTGCCACGTGCTGCTTGGCTGGGCTCCGGCCCGTGGTTGCTTGGGTGGGCTCCGGCGGTTGGGCTCCGGCCCCATGCTGCTTGGTTGGGCTCCGGCCCATGCTGCTGGGGCTCAGGCCCCATGTTTCTTGGTTGGGCTCACGCTTGTTCTTGGGTGGGCTTCGGCCCGTGCTGCTTGGGTGGGCTCCGGCCCCGCGCTGCTTGGGTGGGCTCCGGCCCCATGTTTCTTGGTTGGGCTCCGGCCCCATGCTGCTTGTTTGGGTGGGCTCCGGCCCCATGTTTCTTGGTTGGGCTCCGGCCCATGCTGCTGGGGCTCAGGCCCCATGTTTCTTGGTTGGGCTCACGCTTGTTCTTGGGTGGGCTTCGCTGCTTGGGTGGGCTCCGGCTCCGGCCCCACGTTTCTTGGTTGGGCTCCGGCCCCATGCTGCTTGCTTGGGTGGGCTCCGGCCCCATGTTTCTTGGTTGGGCTCCGGCCCATGCTGCTGGGGCTCCGGCCCCATGTTTCTTGGTTGGGCTCACGCTTGTTCTTGGGTGGGCTTCGCTGCTTGGGTGGGCTCCGGCCCCGCGCTGCTTGGGTGGGCTCCGGCCCCATGTTTCTTGGTTGGGCTCCGGCCCCATGCTGCTTGCTTGGGTGGCTCCCGCCCCATGTTTCTTGGTTGGGCTCCGGCCCATGCTGCTGGGGCTCCGGCCCCATGTTTCTTGGTTGGGCTCACGCTTGTTCTTGGGTGGGCTTCGGCCCCGTGCTGCTTGGGTGGGCTCCGGCCCCTCGTTGCTTGGGTGGGCTCCGGCCCCATGTTTCTTGGTTGGGCTCCGACCCCATGCTGCTTTGGTCCGCTCGTTCCTTGGGTGGGCTCCGGCCCCATGTTTCTTGGTTGGGCTCCGGCCCCATGCTGCTTGGGTGGGCTCCGGCCCCATGTTTCTTTGGGTGGGCTTCGGCCCCGTGCTGCTTGGGTGGGCTCCGGCCCCTTGTTTCTTGGTTGGGCTCTGGCCCCGCGCTGCTTGGGTGGGCTCCGGCCCCAACCACCGGCGACATTGCACCTCGACAGTACAATTGAGTAGGCGATCACATGTTTTGTCGTCTTGATTATTTGCTTGTCGCCTTTCAGATGCGACTGTGACACTGATGTCCGAGCAGTCGACAAAGGTCAACATGAGTGACAAGCGATCATTGCCTGTAATCGTTTGCGGCGTGACCCGAAACCAGCATGGAAGTCTGAGGTCTGAAAGTTACTTGACAGTCCTGGTTTCTGTCAGTTTCTGTGCCATTCGCACATCACCGCATCCATCTGGCCGCCAGGATTTTGTAAGCTCCAGATTGTAGGTTGGAACGAGCGATCGGCATGTCGGCAGCTGCACCAGCACAGCCCTTGCTTTGTGCCTGGGAAGAGGCTGACGAAAGTACTTATGCCAAGTACATCACCTCAGACGGCGAGTTTACGGGGCTGAAAGGCCCAGAGATCGCCTACCAGAATCAGCTCGACGACGGTGTCGAGTTGTTGGCCGACCCTGAGCATGGCTTGATGGAGAAGAAGCGCTTCGAGACAACTTTGGGAACCTACCATGTTTACTTCATCCTGGACCAGGGCAAGGGCTTTGTTGTGCCGATCACAGACTCCATCCGCGACGGCCTGGTGCCCAAGACTTACATCGATGATGATGGCTTCGTCTTCGTGCTTCGCCCGGTGGAGGAGGCTTCGGCTCCCTGCTCTGCGCCAAAAGAGGATGGCTCGGGCTCGGAGGCAGCTGGTATCCAGCGCGGAAGAGTTGCTGGCTAAGGTTTCGGACAGGAGCTCGGAGCTTGGCAGGGGGATGTTGGAACTTTAAGCTTTTGCACGCCGACCGGGGTGTGCATGAAGGTTGATACCGACACAAAGCAAGGACTGAGACAGCGGCAACAGCCTACCGGTGCGGCAAGGAGCCAAAAAAAGTGTCCCAATCACTTGTCATCCGTCGGGCCTGCTGGCTTGTATGGTGATTTCGCAGATTGTGCTGTGATTGTTGAAGATTGTTCATGCAGGCTGCAGGGTCATCCATGAACAAAATGCGAACATGATGTGAGTGTGAAAACATATCATGTCTTACATACTACATTGTGTATCCTGCATCATCATGCATCATGCCGCATGCCATCATGCATCGAGTAAACCAGTAATGGACCAGTAATATGTAACTTATTCAACATGTACTATGTACTATGTACCATGTGTTTTGTATCCGTGACGTCATCCCATTATGTGACTGGTTGTGTGCTAGGACAGGGCACTTATCGCGGTCGCCGTCGTCAAGCCATGACTCGATTCCTTGTGATCCTTTCGCACAGCGACGCACGTATTCTGCACCCGCTCAATTTTGCAGTGCAATATCGTCGCCTGAAGAAGGCACGAGCATTCGCTCGTGCTTTAGTGTCAACGTTCACCCGTCACCTAGGCCATAATCGTTGGACGGTGGCAGTTTATGCGGCAGATGCCAATGAATGGCCTGGTCCAGAATGTTTCTTGGTTGGGCTCCGGCCCCATGCTGCTTGGGCGCTCGTTGCTATGTTTCTTGGTTGGGCTCCGGCCGACTCCGGCCCCATGCTGCTTGGGTGGGCTCCGGCCCCATGTTTCTTGGTTGGGCTCCGGCCCCGTGCTGCTTGGGTGGGCTCCGGCCCCTTGTTTCTTGGTTGGGCTTCGGCCCCGTGCTGCTTGGGTGGGCTCCGGCCCCATGTTTCTTGGTTGGGCTCCGGCCACATGCTGCTTGGGTGACGGCCGGCTCCGTCTTGGGTGGCATGTAAAGTTTCTATTGTTTTGTATTTCTCTCATGTTCTCTTTCTCTCTCTCTCTCTCTCTCTCTCTCTCTCTCTCTCTCTCTCTCTGACACGCTTTCTGTGCTGTGCCGCGACAGTCTGTCTGAATGCATCATGCGATGGCTCTTGTTACACATTGCTTTGTAATATTTTTTTGTAATCGTAATCCCCGAAATTTAAAACCCGAAACTCCTAAACTCGAAACTTGGCGTGTTGGACGCGTTGTGGCCGCATTGTGGTCTCTGACTTCGACGTGCTTGCTGAGCTAGTCTTAACATTACTGCTACTGGCCGTTGTGCATAAGTTCTTTTGAACACAAGTCCGCCGCCGGTCCACCGGCAGGCTCTCGTGGAGCAGCAGGCGGCCACGGCATCAGAGGCTTCGTGTAGTATAGCATTATGCATTGCCGCATGTAGCACAAATACACCGGCAGGGTCCGGTCCCGATGGACGTCGACGTGTCTGAGCAGCATTACCTCCACTTGCCCAACAAATCGTTGTCATGATCGTTGAGACTGCGGCTGCTACTGCTACTGCTGGAATCGGAAGCAAGCGCCAGTCGCAGACTGAGCCGACTGAGTCTGAGCCCCCGCCGAAGGCGTCCAGAAATGCGAAGAGTAAAGCGGGCCGGAAGGGATCGCCCGCCGAGTCGAATCCGAATCCCTTAGCTGCATACTTCAAAAAGGAGTAAGGCTGCCTAGCTGGAAGCTGCACCGGAAGGCATCGCCCGCTGAGTCGAATCCGAATCCCCAGCTCCATAATCCATACTTCAAGACTTCAAGAAGTGGTAAAGCTGCCTAGCTGGAAGCCGAACTGCCGGAACTCTTCCGCTGTCTGCCGTGGGAAAAAGAGAAACGAAGCAGCTTGCCACTATGCTTATGCACATGTTGTACGTGTCACGCGTGCTTACATTCTCGCGAGTCGTCGTTCCCCTCGTCGTAGCGAGCTGTGTCAACTGTTTGAGAAGTGATTCTATGGTATGTCTTCAGATTTTGTGCCACTGCCTTGCGAACATAAGGCACATGATTGACAACGGTGCAAAGT